TACGGCAGTGGTGTATGACGTCACCGGCCCGGCCGGTGGTGTCAATATCGTGCCTATGCATGCGCTGTTTTTATCGCTTCACACATAAATCGGTGATCGACGAAAAATCTTCAAACAATAATGCCAGAGTGACTAAGATAAAGCATTCAGTGAAGCTCTCCGTGGGCCCAGTGACAAGTGACCCCTGGGCCCGAAAATCGTCAAAGATCTTTTAAGTCATCTAGGCCTGCAGAAGTTTGTCGCCGTGAAGTGAGTAAACCCTCCAAACCTTCAAAACCTAGTCAAGTAAAACCGTCAAGCCTGTTAAGCGATTGCAGTCAACCATTCCTGAAACATTCAGTGAGGCCTAAGACGGCAGACAGTCCAAAGATACAACATTTTTCAAACCACCAAGATTTCTAATAAGAAGATGCGATCACACAAGTCGTTAGATTGCATTTGAAACCGTACACAAAACAGATTGTGTGCTCCTGAACATTGATGTGGTGAAGGTGGAGCTCCAGCCCCCAAACGTTCACACAAAAATGGGCCGAATCCAATGAGAAGACCATTTTTGCGTATTTTGAGGGTAGGCTTTCCGTTTTACCCTGCTGACGCCTTGCCAGGAAGGATTTTGCGAAACGACACCCCTGCGTTCACGCCTTAAGGTGGTTGGTGCCGAACTGTTTCTGCCCGGTGGGTGCCGCCAAACACCTCAGGCCAATCTAGCTGGACTAGCCTAAACTCAGATGAACTAGACTCATTGAGTTTTTATGCTTCTTAACAATTCAAATCAAGCGTAGCAACTTTGAAACTGCTTTACACACTTGAAACTCGAAACGGCGTGGGAGGCAGCAACAGGAGCCGATTTGGGAAGCATTTTTGCACATGTGGAACAATTTCGAAAACTGAAGATTAAGATGGCTTCAACGGTGTTGCGCCGGGATGCATTTGGCACACTCTACACTGATTTTCGTGACGGGGGTGTATTCAGGGCACACGGTGCTCGAACTATTTCAAAATTTATTTCAGAAAGACAATTGTTGGCATGCAATAGTGCATTCAAATGATTGATCCTTAACTTTCTCGCAATGCCTTCATTCATCTTCACTTTCTTTTATGTTTATGGTTATATAGCTGAGTTCCATGATGTGTTAGGGTTTTTTCTCAAACGTTTCAGTTGGATACTGTCAGGGTTATAGCTTGATTAATTTTACGTACGCATATAACTCATTTTACGGTTAACTAGGTGAATACTTGATATATAATCTATATCTTCGTGGCTAACACATAATGGTTGACGCGTATTTATTTCATTCGAGCAAATTTATGTCACACTTCTATGTATTTACATACAAGCGCACAAACCACGAGGTCAGTTCCCTTAAGGCCTCTGTGTTTTCATGACGAGGGCGAAAACTTTGTTTAACTATATTCTAACTTCTTCGCCGCCATGGTTGTTTTTGTTTAGAAAATATATTACAACAGTTAACCATTGAAAAATATCGGATGTCCAATAAACGAGCTCTTTGTTTCAATAACGTTCTTCTGTGGTTCTTTATTTCAGCTCAAGTGTAACAATATTGCAAGGCGCTGATTTCGCACGTTACAAACGGCTGAGTGAATTTTCGCACCCACCGACTTCATATTTGATTCCTGATTCATCTTCAAGCGGGCTGACCATGTTCACACACTGTTCGCTGGCGCTATACATTGAAAGCTAGCTTAACTACATAAGATTAGAGATAAAGATAAAGTTAGATAATAGGCGTTTCACGATGAATTAGTGCACTGAAAAGTTTCAATTTTTTTGAAAATGCATCTATGAAGTTTCAGTATATACTTGTCACTGTATATACATATATATATATATATATATATATATATATATATATATATATATATATATAATATATATATATATATATATATATATACACATACATTTCTCTCTATACTTGACACTCTATCATATACTCTATTTCACTCTAGTATATAATATGATATACTTAACACACAATCCACATTTCAAGCATGCTCGTAGTATTACGTCTGTATATCTGAATCACTGTATCATGTCATATCGATTTACCATAAGTGTCAGCATGAACACATACGCGCCATTTGCGATGAATAAAATAAAGGCCATACCAAAGTGATTTCGGAATGGCCTGTCGTCATTATATGTGCCGGCATATTTAGGGTGCTGTGACATTTATACCCATCCATAGAACGGCAAACGAGCATTAATTATCACCCCGTGTCTGGTGTCTGGGTGCGTGTCTGGTCCCCGAGCGCGTGTATCACGTGTCTGGTCCCCGGGTGCGTGTATCACGTGTCTGGTCCCCGTGCGCGTGTATCACGTGTCTGGTCCCCGTGCGCGTGTATCACGTGTCTGGTCCCCGTGCGCGTGTATCACGTGTCTGGTCCCCGAGCGCGTGTATCACGTGTCTGGTCCCCGGGTGCGTGTATCACGTGTCTGGTCCCCGGCGCGTGTATCACGTGTCTGGTCCCCGGGTGCGTGTATCACGTGTCTGTTCCCCGTGCGCGTGTATCACGTGTCTGGTCCCCGTGTGCGTGTATCACGTGTCTGGTCCCCGGGTGCGTGTATCACGTGTCTGGTCCCCGTGCGCGTGCATCACGTGTCTGGTCCCCGAGCGCGTGTATCACGTGTCTGGTCCCCGAGCGCGTGTATCACGTGTCTGGTCCCCGGGTGCGTGTATCACGTGTCTGGTCCCCGGGTGCGTGTATCACGTGTCTGGTCCCCGGGTGCGTGTATCACGTGTCTGGTCCCCGTGTGCGTGTATCACGTGTCTGGTCCCCGGGTGCGTGTATCACGTGTCTGGTCCCCGTGCGCGTGCATCACGTGTCTGATCCCCGAGCGCGTGTATCACGTGTCTGGTCCCCGGGTGCGTCATTGCTGTATACACAAGCACGTTGGTATGTAATGATACCATATGAAAGACTTATGACAATGGTTAGCTTCCACAACAATACCTGACAACATTTCAGGTACGATCCAAAACACATCAATTTCATTATGTAGATCTCCACCTGTTCCTCCTGTCACTGCCTGTGACAACACTTCTTGATTGAACATTCCGAAATGCAGACGAGGGTTCTACTTTTCGTTTGGGCTACATTGCACCAAAATCGTCTTTTTTGTTTAGAGGGTCTCGCGCTTTCGGAGACCTCACAAATGGATCGCATCTAACCAGAAGACCGCAACTTTAGCCGATGTAACGTTTGTTCAAGTTGTGTGTTTACTGAGTGCTCCAAAATGTAATATAATATAATATGCTCCAAAATAATCGGACAGTAATACGTTAAGCTGTGGGTTCGAAACATAACCAAACAATCGCAGATGAAATAATGAGTCGCACGCTTGGTGATCACTACAATCACTCAGCCCAGAAGCCAGTTCACTTCAGTTCACATATTTTTATAATGCAACATGTCAGCAGTTCATCGCAGTTTATTGGAGGGTATCATATGGGGTTCGGTGCGGATGATTGGCTGCTAAATTCAACAACTGCTTTCGCTCGGACGCCTTTTGATTGGGTGAGCGGCTTGCACGTGGAAGTAACACATACCTACACAGTCCTAATTGTTCAACTTTCACGGATGTTTGGGGCCGTGCCCCAAGCCAATATGGGAGATGACGCAGGCCATAAACGTCATATCGCGACACTTACCACACCGTGTGCTGCTCACATGCCATCGGCGTCAGTTACAAATGGTAAGAACCGAGCGGGATGCATTCCACGATCTGTAGAGAGAACTGGCACCAAACCGGCACCAAACGACACATTTGTCGACGCGTACAGCTGGCTGGCCGCCCTGCAAACTGACGGCGACCTGTGGAATCATCACTTTCGCTCCAGTCCGGAAGCAAGGCAGGACCATCCAGAACAGGCGACGGACAAAAAAAGATATGACGTCACGTATGACGCATCGCCTGGCGACAGCTGGTTCAAACGTCACACACCATCCGCCTTTTGCCACATCGCCGACGCCGACCAAAGGGCCGGACCGAGCCGCAGCAGTGAAACAACTTGGCCAGTTGCGTCATCACGTTACTACTGAGTCACCGCACCAATGCCGGTTTCTGGGACCGCGGGCTTCCCTGCCCGCAAGGCCACGCACGCCGGCATGCGGACGGGCACGTACACGTGCGCGGCGAGACAGGGCGATCGCACCGAGCTTGCGCGCAGCCGTGCATGCCTGCAGGCTCAGGGGCGGCGAGACGGAGCGTGGCGGTGGCGCGGCCGACCGTTCTTGCAGTCGCAGCGGACTGCGAGTCGCCAGTAGGGCGTGTTGTGCTGCGGACCGCCGGCGGGCGAAGGGCGTGACTCCTGGGAACCGCGCAGCTGGAGACGACTCCAGGAGAAGCCCTATCTCCCCACGTTCGCCTGAGGGCGAGAGACCCGTCTCGGACGGGGTTTCTCCCTCCCGCTGCTCCCGGACTCGTGAGTACGCTCCGCCTCCGTGAGGACCGGCCGGCAGCCGATACAACTGCTGGAAGAATCGCGAGAGGAGCCATCTGAGCGAGCTCTCTCCGGGCCTCACCGGCCGCCGTTGTCTCGTGACTGGACGTGGTTTGGGGGCGGTGCTCGCCAGAGCGCGCCGGCCGCCGGCGGCCGCTTGCCCTGCGGGTGGGTCGGCCCGGTCTCTCTCGGGGCCAGCACGCGGCCGGATGCGTCAGTCCCCGCGCACCGGTGCTGCACTGACGTCATCCGGTTCGAGGAGGCGGTGCGGTCACATGGCGTGGTGAACAGCCGGAACTCGGCACACGCCTCGTAGCAGTGTTGGACCGGGTCCAGGCGAACCGCCCGCTCGCTCACTAGACCTGGGGACCCACCAGGAGCGCCCGTCTGTCGGAGAACTCCCGCGGGACCCTCGCGCTGCCAGAGAGCGCCGCAAGTCCACCGCTGCGCCGGAGGACGCCGTGCAGTGACGCCGTTAGGAGCCCCTCCGGGCTGCCGAGCCTCGCGGGCCAGGGGGCTGTTTTTGCTGCCGACATGCTGCTGGAGAAGCTGTCGGCGCTGGCAGCCTGGCTGGGCGGCGGCGAACAAAGTCAGGGCCAGACCTCGCCCAGCTACTTCACGGCCGCGGCATGGAAGAGAGCTGCTAACACCGTGCTGGCTGCCAACTATATCTGCTCAGCAGGGTAAGATGGAACGGCCTGGGCCGCCCAGACAGGGCGTGGTGTCTGCTACGCGCAGTCGTCGCGCACCAGGGTGCCCGTGCCCTTGGGGTTGTTTAGACGGGACGTACGGAAGTGAGCGCACGTGGGAATGCGAACTGTGTGCGGCAGTGGCAGCGCAATGTTTTTGGCGTCGAGGGAAGGAGCAATGTAGCCTGTTTTCCATGAACACCACACGTTTGGCGCTAGATTATCGCAAATCTGGACGACGGGTTTCCCTCTTCCACATGAGGCCTGGTGCGCGATTGGGTGGGAAATAAAACGCCATAATAAAGCTGGGCGAGGATAATTTTGAGGCATTCCACATCCGCCCATGCCTTTTTACGATAGTGGTAAGTGTGCCGTGGAAACCGTCACCTAACTTCGAAAGTGCCTGCTACATTAAACATTCTAACCCACGATCGCATCTGCAATGCGTCGAGGACGCTCTTCAGAGGTTTTTACGCTAACTAGATGCTGTGCCAAGCAGGCGTAGTACGAATCGTGCACGTATCCTGTGCGGCGGGTAAGGAATCGTTCGCATTGTAAACGTTTTGACGTGGTGGGCTGTCAATCAGGAAAGTGTACAAATTAGCAACTGAAGACAGATAACGTGCGAATGGCTAATTAACCACGCCGTATTTATTGTTTGCAATCACTACATAATTTGCTCTCAGCAGGCTTCCCCGTTTTTCCACTGTTCAAGCACTTTGCGCCGCGGCTAAAACCTTGCATGCAGGCGATCGCGTAGACCGCTTACAGGCGATTGCTTACACGCTATTCTATAACAGCAATCGACCACGCGTAGGCGGCTGTTAATGGGCGCCTATAAGGTGTATCCGATTTTGTTACTGCGATGTGGACAGCCAGCACCGAACAAACACCACTGACAGCATTGGTTTGGGTGCCCCATTGGCTGGCAGCTCCGTGACTTCCCCGATAAGTAACAGGACATGCTAGCCTGCTCAGATCCGGCGAAGGATTGGGGTAACGGTCGCCGGTGCCAGCCGACCCTCGCCGGCTCTAGGGTCCGTGGACTGACGAGCTGGCCATGGATCGACACAGCCAGAAGGTCGATGCTGGTGCCACTGGTGTCGACCCCAGTATTAGTCGTATCGTCATTGAGAGGTCGATGCTGGTGCCACTGGTATCGACCCCAGCATTAGTCGCACCGTCATTGAGAGGTCGATGCTGGTGCCACTGGTGTCGACCCCAGCATTAGTCGCACCGTCATTGAGAGGTGGATGCTGGTGCCACTAGTGCCGACCCCAGCATTAGTCGCACCGTCATTGAGAGGTGGATGCTGGTGCCACTAGTGCCGACCCCAGCATTAGTCGCACCGTCATTGAGAGGTCGATGCTGGTGCCACTAGTGCCGACCCCAGCATTAGTCGCACCGTCATTGAGAGGTCGATGCTGGTGCCACTAGTGCCGACCCCAGCATTAGGCGTACCGTTACGGATGGCATACACTGGTGCCAAGCCTAGAGCCGGCCGCTGCAGGGGCGGCTCCGGGTTCTGGGCAAGTGCCGCATCTCTGGTGCCTGTACCCCTTTTTTAATTTCCTTACGTATACGTGAATGCGACGACGTACTCTGTGTGAACTAGTAAGTTCTATATACGAGGTGCAGCCGTAACAAGTGATCTTATCCTGATACGCGGTCAACTCGAATTACCTGGTATGCTTACGCCTAGTAAGATTCCGTGCTGTGATGCAACTTATTCGAAAGGTCACATTACTGTCTGCCAAATCATTGTTACCAGACAGCTTTTTCTCACAGGTTTTAGCAAACAAGTAGGAATTTGCCGTATTAATGCGAATGGCTTGCATAAAACCTTCAAAAAATATCACGGCAAGACGCTCTCTTGAATTATATCACTGTTCCTTGCGATCTCGTTCAGCTCAGCAAACCAGAGGAGGATCAGGCATAGTAGATGAAAGGAAATTTCCTGCATGACTGAGCCAAACTGCTGAACGTTGTAGTTAAATAATGCATAAATGTTGGCTGCCTTGGATTTTCTACGCAACGACACTGGGCACTGGGCTAATACGCTCGTATACCATAACCCTGGGTTATCCACCAAAGGTGCCGAAACAGTGCGGAAAACCCATGAACTCTTCGTGAATTCGAACGAAATGGCATTTGGCAACTCTCGCAATCAGGCTCTTAAGCCGTTCAAGAACAACTTTCAGGTAGCTCATCAACACTCAGCTTTGTTTTAATTGCGTCAGTGAGCTTAATATAGCGAACGGGCCGATGATTCAACAGAATTTTCGGTGACCTGGCCTCGCTTCGGAAGACCTATGCTCGACGCGTCACGTGGGGCTCGGTCAGGGCTCAGTAGCATCCAAGTCTCAGCCATGCTCGGCTGTACCTGAACACCAGAGGGGTGCGAAACCAGGAGGAATCCTGTGACTCGTCGGCCATGCGCCCCACCGGAGGCCGCCCCAGCAGACAGCGGTCCGTTCCCCGCGGCCGCGCCCAGCAAGGACCCTCCACGGACGTCTGAAGGCCGCCCGTGACGCTTGTGTGGACCGTCATGCTCCGATTCATCCTCCGCGGACGCTGGCAGTCCCCGATCACGGCCTGGTCTCACCGTATGGGAGCTCACCCTGAGTCACTGTCCCGCGACGCGGAAAATGACCCGTCGCCAAGAAACACAGCATCGGTTTTCCTCCGCATGTTAATGGACTCGGTGCCAGTTTGCCATCCTGGCGGAAACGTTTGCGGCAGGTCCAATCCGGGCGGCCATGACCAGACGCGCTCCACGGTGTGCGGTGCGCCTCTGCTGTCGGCTTTCTGCGCCGCTAAGATGCGAAGTCACGAGAAGGAGAGATGTCTAGGAACACAAAGCGCGGGTTTAGAATGTCGGCGCGCCCTGAATTCCAGAGTTCGATTAGCTTTCGTCGTCGGCGGCGTGAGGCTGCATCGTTCAACGAACGACCTCTGCTGCCGACGATTGGTTCTGTGGTGTTGTTCGCATCTGGGATTGTTACCCGCCGCAATACTGTGCAAATTTGACGCCGTGAAATATGACTGCTTAGATGCACTTCCTTCGTATTTTCCTCATGGTGAACGAATCACTCCTTCTCACAAAAAAGCTATGATGAGGTGGAGTACGACACACGGCAAATGTCGCGCGTAGCGTTTTGAGCATTCGAACATATTCATGACATCGCTATTTGCTGCTTCCACCAACTGTGCTGCTGTTCTGAGTGGTCTATAGGACGTCATCACTTAAGTTGCCTTCCATGATCACATAAGAGCTAAAAGGAGTGTCCCAGATTTGTATGAGGGGGGGGGGGGGGTTGAACTGAAACAGCCAACCTGAAGACCAGTCGGTGCAGTTCACAGCCCTGTCCTTCTTAAGAGACCGAACCCCGTATAGCTTCTGAGTTACGCGCCTGTGGAGGGGTACAGACTATTTCGGGGAGACCGTTTTAATTTACCCAGTCATGCATGACGCAATAATAACATCATTTAAATCCCGCCATTCCATTGGTCATGCGGCGATCAAGACCCAAGCAATATAGTTGTCATTTCCTTCACACCTGGCATTCGTGAGCAAGATTTCCAGACCAAATGACCGTCAGTTGGCTAACAGTCAATGTTGTGCAAGGTAATCGTAACCCGACGACGAAATCAAACAATGGCGTATTGAGGAGCATGTTCACTAAACGGAGAAATTGTGAGAAACTGAAAAAGCTCTGAGTAGTTTTTCCACTTCAAAGCATATGAATGCTTGAATGCTTCCGATGCTTGCTCAAGGTCAGGTCAAAGTTTGAAAATTCCCTTCACTTCAATCATGGGCTTTCATATGTCTGCCGCTGCATTAAAATACAGTTACACTTGCACCTGTGTGTTGATTGGCAGCAAACCGCGTATCTGCCGCCTATCGCAGTGAAGTGGAGCTGGCAACTATTCCGAAGAGTCGCAGGTGCAGTGCCGTCGTCTTGCGTTGGCCACGGGCTAGCTAATTTGGGTGTATTATTTAAGTTTTGTGACAGACATCGCACGCCGTAGTCCCCAACTTAAACACGTTTGTGTTTACATGCTCCTCCAAGCAAACTAAAACCAGTGAGATGCTATGTATAGTGTGGGGCGAGCGTGGCGACGGCCGACGTTGGAGTTGCCGAGTATTATCACACATAACGTTGATTCGAAAATGTCCGGCTATGGATCTCGTAAGACGCGAGATTTTCAGTCCCGAAATCTATGAACTTGCGGTGATTGACGACCGCAATCATGGCCAAACCTTTATCAGGAACACGCATCTTTGTGGTGGACATTGGTCATCATCAACGGCATCGCAAGCCTGCGTAATTTCCATGAACCAGTCTCCCCTGGCTTAGAGTCCGGCATGTGGTATTCGAGATCAGCTCGGAAGACGTGCCGCTGACCGTTTTCCGGCTCACTATTGGCGCGTCACCCCGGGCGCGCGGACAGGTTCGGTTGGCACGTGGTATTCGGGATCAGCTCGGAAGACGTGACGCTGACCGTTTTCCGGCTCACTATTGGCGCGTCCACGGGACGGACAGGTTTATGTCTGGGTGTGCAACCATTTTTGTTTGTGGTTGCGCTCTAAGTGAGAAGGGGTGCATTTTTAATTCTCCCTCACCGTGAAGTTCGTCTCACATCTCTATGGTCTCCCGCTTGAAACCTGGTCTAAATCCTTGAACATGACCCAAAACGACGAGCAGACTCATACTTTACGTACAAAAAGGTGCTGTGCCGGTGCCCGCTCACGTACATCGAATGGGAAGGTCAAACTGCGATGATATAATGTTGCAAAAAAAGCCCGCCTGACTAAGCGCGTTTAATGAGGCACGTGGCGTTCTTGGCATTAGTTTCAACAGAAATGTGTCGCCGCTTATGTAGGAGAATTGTTAAGGAGTTATCGCTGAAAACTGCTGAAACCTAGAACCAGTGATTGGACAAAATTAGCTTCTGGAAGGCCGGCTAACGTGCCGGGCTGGGCCACTCCAGCTGAAAATGCCCACATATATTGAGAGGAACTCGCTCAGTCTTCGACCTCGCTTGCAACAAAGGTTCAGTGTTGTCCTCCATGGGTGGGTGGGCGGAGCTCTCTGCAGTGGGATTTACATCGGACTCGTCATCCGTGAAATGGAGGCCGTTTCTGTCCAGTAGCGGGATGACGGCCACTGTCTGGTGTGAACCGGGAAACGAAAAACGGCCACCATTCGGTGTGAACCGGGAAACGAAAGACGGCCACCATCTGGTGTGAGCCGGGAAACGAAAGCCTCCATCTTCACGGACTGCAACAGCTGATTGCGGTGGACGTGCGTGGCGCCGATAAGTCAATTCGTGACAGACATTTGCGGGTGATGGATGTCGATGAGGGTGTTTCGGGTGAGGTTATTCATCCTCGGCGATCGTGATTATTCTTTATTTATCTCCAGATTTACATGTCTTCATTCGGTGAATGCGACAGCAATGTGATACTTGGCTAAAGGTTTCGACAGTGGTGGTTCTTTATAAGTCATGAACGACAAGGATAGCGTAGCTCCAGTGTTTGCCCCACGACCGTGAACGGACAGTCGTGGGTTCGAGCCTGGTCCTCAGTATCAAGAGTTTCGTCGTCCGCCGCGGTATTCGGCTTAAGATATGGCGGCGTCACGTAACCTTAGATGCTGAATGCACTGCTAAACCTATATAAGTACTGTTAAACAATTGGTAGCAAGTGCATAAGATGGACTCCTTATGTGAGACCTAGGTCAACTTTTATTCATGCGTGTGCACAGCCAAACCGTCAAAATGCTATATATATATATATATATATATATATATATATATATATATATATATTGCTAATTATCTTGCCAAACCCGTGCAGCCGTCAACACCAATGAGGCTGACTACAGAATGTTGGCACCCCTGAAATGTTGATCAACACCACAAATGACATTGGTGTATCGTTTCCCCAGGCGGTCGGACTTCGGGACACATGTCACCGACGAAATTTCAGAGCGTGACGGCTCTGTCAAAGCTGTCAGACGTGGCTCTGTGGGGAGGAGATTCCTTTGACCCTTACGAGCTATTACGGGCGGTCACGACAAGTGACGAGTCCAGCGTGACCCCCGCTTTAGCCGATGGTTGTATGACGGTCCGCCCACTGACCCCGCTCGCGCCGCGGTGGTTGTATGACGGTCCGCCCACCGTCTCCGCTCGCGCCGCGGTGGATGTATGACGGTCCGCCCACCATCCTCGCTCGCGCCGCGATGGCTGTGTGACGGTCCGCCCACCCGCGCCACCGTCCTCGCTCGCGCCGCCTCTTCCCCATCTGTCGTATTCTGGCGGCCTGGCCGGGCTGGGCCGGGTCCTGACCCGTGAGTCAGGGCTCCGTCTCCGTCCGGCGGCGCTGGCGGCGGCCAATTGGACGCGGCGGCGAGCTCTCAGACGGCCCCGGAGCCTGGCACTGGCGGCGAGTCAGCCGTCTGCACCCACCGAGTCTGGCGGCCCGGTGGTATGCCCCGGGCAGCCGTCTGCACCCACCGAGTCTGGCGGCCTGGTGGTATGCCCCCGGGCGGGCCGCGGTGAGGAGCCCACCGAGTCTGGCGGCCCGGTGGTATGCCCCCGGGCGGGCCGCGGTGAGGAGCACCGGCTGTTGTTGTTTTTACTGGAGCTCTTTGCGGCTGGGCCGACTGGCCAATGGCGAACTTGTGTGTCTATCGGATTGGCAGGCCTCAAGAGGCTGTCTTTGCTATAAGAAGTCAGTTGACTGCTCTCTGAATGAAATGCAGCCTTCCTGTAAAATATTCCCGAGGCCCATTTCTTGGCTTTTTGTAACAAACTGATTATCATCATCATCCATCACTGCGTCAGAGCGTGGTGGATAGTGCTAGATTTGTCAAAAGGTCTGTTAGAAATCTATAGCTATTTATCCCTGAGCGAATTACTTCACCTGGCGTTTTGTAAGAGAGAAGCTTTCTTGCCAGCAAATGGTTCAATGCATGGTGTCAATATCTTCCACGTGAACACACATATTTTGCTTTTCATTCGAGCCCGCAACCCAGCGCATGACATAAGTATTGGCTGCAGTTTTGGCAGCGTTTCACAAACGGCGCGAAAAGCGTGCCGCGTTGTGCGCACCAAAATCCAAACAAACGTAATCACAGGCTGGCCGCTACAACCACCAACCGACTTTAAAGAGCGCTAACACTACACAGAAGCCCCTGTCGGAAACACTCCGTCGCCCCGACCGCCGGCACTGTCCTGCTGTCGACACCATTAGCGGCATTAGTCTGGGCCGCATGGCGACAATGCCACCGAGCGGCGGTCAGCGGCGGCGCGGAAGAGGGCGCCACGGGCGGTCGGGCCGAGCGAGGGGGCGTGTCCCGGACGGCACGCGCCGTGCTCGGCGGGGCGTGGCGTGGCGGTGGCGGCCACGCGTGCTTCCCGTCCGCCCCGGCCCTGTCCGACCGGGCAGGGTCAAACACCCCGCGCCGTCCCACCGACAGGCGCGGGAGCTGGGGGCCGTCGCGGACGCGCTGATTGCCACAACGAGCGTCATGGCGTTTTTCACGTCGGCGGCGGCGGTTCGGTCTGCCCTGTCTGTCCCGTCTGGCCGGCGGCTGTCGGGCCGGCTCGCTCGGTCCGAGCGGTCGCCAGAGCGGTACGGTGGCACGGTGCAAGGCGGTGGTTGGTGACGGCTGCCGACTGCGGGGGCGACTACACGGTGCAATACTACCGGCCTCAGGTAACACGTGCTCCGGGCTTGCTCCGCGGTGAGAGGAACGGGAGAGTGCAGACAGACGAGGAGGGCGGCGCGACATCAAAAGCTGCAGTAGGGTGGCGTGACCGGCAACGGTGCAGCACGGAGCTGGAGACGGCACGTGGCGGCCTCGGTCAACGTCGCAACGGTGACTGCGTGGGAAACGAGCGATCCCATGACTATGAGACCAAACACCTGTTACGGTATTAGCAAGAGGCACGGCGGCGCATGCTATAGCTGCCCACAACAATCGCCGCATCATCACAACTATGCGGTGGTCTGATTAACTGGAGGGAACAAACGCTGCCTGACACCGGAAGTGGAGCAAGATCTTCCTAAACATGAGGTTCATGACCCGCTGGGGCCTGTGACTCGGCTTCCGTCGACATCAACACAAAGACCGGTAACCCGCCGCATTCGCCAGCGAAGTGCGCAGTCTTTAACATTGGAAAACTGAGCTTTCAGCCGGACCCCGTGACCCTCCCCGCTACCGTGACTCCCCCGTTACGTCAGCGGGGTGAACGGGCGCCAGCTGCGGCGCCGCGCCCGGTGGGCGGGCGAGAGGCGGGGCCGCTCCGGCTCCGGTTCTGATCACGGCTCGAACGGCCACCGCCTGCGGCCTTCACAGTCCAGCGGGCCGCGCGGCGGGGCAGACTGCCGCCGATGAGTCACGCTGCCGCCCCGGCCCCTGTCCCGGTGCCGCGGTTTAAATGGCCGCGGGCGGCGGGCCGGCACGGGCCGCCGGCGTACGGGTCACGCACAGCGCGCCGGCCGACCGCCACTGCCGCGCCGGCCTGCCGCGCGCGCACCACCGACGCCGGCGCGGTTCGACATAGCGCTGACAGACGGCGCGACGGTCCCGACGGCGCCGACGACGACGGCGCCGACGACGGCCGCCGGCCGGCCGCCGCCGGCTATTAATACGGCGCTGGCGGCGGCGATCAGCTGCGCGGCGCTGGACGGCGCTGGCGGCCGTGAACGCTGGCAGCCGGCCGACGCCGGCAGCGCCCGCTCGCACACCATGTGCGGCTTCGAGCTGGGGGAGCGGCTCGGGATGGACCGGCTGCGGAGGAGGCTGCGCTTGCCGCCGCTGCGCGCCGCCCGCGTCAGGCCCCTGTTCGCCCGCCCGGCGGAGCACTTCGAGCAGCATGTGCACAGGTGAGGCGAGAGAGAGAGCTACGCACCTGTCCACCCCCCACTGGCGGGCGCCGGGGGTAGCGGGTTAGGTGTCAGTGAACCGGTGTGGTCGGGCGTGGGGAAGGCCGTCACTCTGCTGTTTATAAAGCTGTCACCTGATCTTTTTTAATGGGATCGCGCCGCCGTCTGATTTGTTTTGATTCGTTCAGAGGCGTTGTTGGCGGGACGACGACGCTCCGAACTCACATTCATCCGAGATCTTTGAACGCTTATAGCCATTTCCGCACACTTCTTGTGCCGTCAGAAGTGCAAAACGATACGTAAGGTAAAGATCACTTGGCAAATCACCGATTGCGTTTGTACTGATGGTTGGTTAAAGTGGCTTGCTGTTGGTTCTGGTTTGAGTGTGCTGCCAGATCTTTTACAGTGATATCATGCCGTTCTTTGATCATCTGAATCCAATACAATCACTGCATAATCAATTATTCATATTACGCGCGGGAACCATTCTGCGTGACTCGCTCGTATCCACTGTGAGAAACAACTACATATTCATTTGTTCACTCTCCGCGCTGATTCCCTGTCTGTCTCCCTTCTGCTCACAAAGAGAAGAGGAGCAGGTGGGGTATGTAAACCTCAGCTGTGATTCAGTCTGCACGCTCTGTGCACCTGCATGCGAGCTGGACACACACAGAGACAGAGAGAAATAGGGCAACGCCCCCTACCGCGAACTGTTGAGCCCTTGTAGCATCGATTGTTGATACTGAGACTCGCTGGTTGCCATGACAGCCGTCCACGCTCGCTGCACATTCCGCCGTGATGGTGGACGGCTGGCCGGCATTGTCGCCCTGTCGCCTGGACGGATGTAGCCTATTCAGGGGTCGGTAGAGGGGGGTGGGGGGAGGGTTCGCTCTCCGCGCTCCGTGTGTGTCCGCGCATGGTCGTCCCCGTCACGTTCCACCGCGTGACGCACCGATCACGGCCGCCCGTCGTCACGGGGCGCTGCCCAGCCTAACGCACACCCCACGCAGCCACCTGCCAGCAGCGCCAGCCTTTTTGTCCCCGCTGAACGTCCGTCTGTTTGGCAGAGCTCGGGAGGCGCTGCTGTCCAAAATAGACCGCGTGCGACCCAAGTGGCGGCCGCGGTCCTCCTCGCTGCCCGGGGGCCGCTCGTCCTCGGACCGGACGAGCACGGCGGCGGCGGCGGCCGGCCAGAGCGTGTCCAGCGTCGATCTGACGCGCCCCGAGCCGCCGCAGCCGGACCTGCAGCCGGCGCACTCCACCGTCTCCGTCGAGACGTCGCACACCTTCCGCTACCGGCGACCAGAGAGCTACGAGAACATCCTGCTGACCGAGCGGCGGCGATGTCGCTCCGAGATCTCGCTCGACTCCGGCGACGAGGTGCTGGCGCGCCTGCGTGCCATGGACCGCGCGCGCGGCTTCGGCCGCCTCCAGCCCGACCTCAGCCTGCCGACCGCGCGGCCCGTGGAGGTGGTGCGCCCGATGCGCGGCCGTAAGACGCCGCCGCCGCGGCCGCCGCCGCCCAAGCTGGAGCCGTTGCGCGCCGCGTCCGTGGCTTCGCTGCACGCGCCGCTGCCAACCGTGCAGGAGGAGAGACCGGGCGCGGCGCCGGCGCGGCGGCCGGACGCGAACCACAGCGCTCCGCAGTCGCCACTGAAGAGCCCCGCACAGAGGCTACAGTACCGCGAGCCGGTGCACCCCACCACACCGCCGCCGCCGCCGCCGCCACAACCGCCGCTGCAGACCCCGCTGCCAAAGTCAATGTCGTCCCGGCCAAAGCCGTGCACAAACAGCCCCGATTGCTCGCGGCAGGCGGCGGGCGTGGGCGCGAACGGGTCGCCAGCCGGCCGGCCGGACCGGCGACTGTCGGGCCGCGAGGCGCCGCAGAAGCCACCTCGCTCGCGCTCTCCGCGCATTGCCTCGCCGGCGCCCTCGTCGTCGCCGTCGACGGCGCCGTCGTCGCTGCAGCTGGGCGCGCCGAGCGACCTGTCGGACGCGTCGACGCCGGTGGCGCGGCGCCGCGAGAGCGAAGGCGCGCCCTCGTCGCCCAAGAGCTCCGGCTACGACTCGGCTGGCAGCCCGGGGCCGCCGCGCACGCTCGGCGCGTCCGTTTTCTACACGCTGCCGCCGGGCGCGAGCCGCGGCGCTCCCGCCTCACCCGCCTCTCCGGCTGACTCGCGGGCGAGCACGCTGCGCGCGCCGCGCGACGGCGAGCCCACGCCGCCGCCGCGCACCCTGCGTCGCCGCAAGCGTCCGCGCATCACCGCACCCAGCAACCGCACCAGCGTGTTCAGGGAGGCGTTTCAGTCGAGCATCCGCAACCCAGAGTAAGTACGGTCGCACCGCCGCGCTTGCAGGCATACTCCGCCGACGGGCTGGCTGAGCGCGGCTGGAGCCACCTCGAGTCGGCCGCGCCGACGCACGCCGGAGGAGAGCGGCGGGCTGGGAGCGGGGTCTGAGTCTGCTGCGTGCCGACAGGGGGTCGGCCCTGGGCCAGATCGGAGACGGCCAGACGTGGCTCCAGACGTCCGGCGCGCCGCTCGCCGCCGCCAATGAGCTGCTTGAGATCGGTGTCGCCATCTCTGCCGGGACTTATTACAAGCAAGGGTAACCGGGCCGACCTGCGCTCCCAAGGCCACTCCCTGTGCTCTGACCTTGGCCCGGGCCTTGACCTTGGCCTGACCTGACCCGACCCGGCATGTCCTGGCATGAGCTGGTTCCCGCAGCGGCCAACCGAGTCCCCGCGCCCGCGGAGTTCGCCAGCAGTGCGCCCTGTGCCTGCGTGAGGGAGCCACGTGCTTCAAAACCGGCTTTGGTTGTTTACGTGTGAGATGTGCTGTCCATCCTGACTAACTGAAACATTTCAGCGAGGCTTCATCAGCTATGTCACATTGGCGAGTGCTAGGCCGGACTAAACCAATTATACGCTTTTAGGACGAACTAGAATGCACGCGTAGATCAATCACCATCCACTGACGCTTCTGATTTTCCTGGCACCGCTTGGGATAGATTTAAATCGTGAAGAGGCTGCTGATATCACTTCGCAGTTAGGCACTCAACTGCGCCGACGCCTGATCATAATCATCATCACCATCACGTCACCGACGTCATCATTTGACTCGAATTTGGCTCGCGTTCGTATTTCCAGTCTCTCTCCGCCGGGGCCAAATATACTGGAATGACGCAGAAGTTGGCCGAAGTTGACATCCTCCTTGGCAGACCTTGGAAGGCTCACACTGAATGGCCTCCTGGCTCTGGGAAATGACCGAGGCTTTCATCACTCTGTCTGGCTCGTTTGGTGGCACACGGCTGGGTCATAATTTACGACCGTCAGGTCATAAATCTTGGCCTTGACGTTTTGTCGCACTGATGGCATGATCCATTGCGAATGTCAAATTCGTCATGAGCAATAATAAGCGCAGTTAACGTTGGTTTCTCACACCGTCTGCCACCCATGAGAACGAATTACAGACACTTGTGAACGAAACACCAAAGTTTGCTGAACAATCTTCCAAATAAGACCAGGCATACCTTAACGAGTATTCCGTGGACAAAGCGAGAGCCCCCCCCCCCCCCCCTCCCACTGTCCGCTGACTGCCAAACGTCAGAAGTTACGACAACCCAAGTTACGAACTATGAGGCAGGACATCCCACTGGATAGATCGCAGAGGCTTAAGACTTGGTTGGTTGGACCGGCCGTTGCACGAGGCGTCCGCACCATACATACTTCATGGCAGCAGGAGGAAAAGCTCCGAAACTTATGGCTGTTCGCGCTCAGAAGACGTCACCGTGGGTATATTTGGGAGCGCGCGTGATTTTGAGGAAGTGATCATGCGTCGTCATACACAACAGATTGCGGGGACGGTGGACGACGGTGGGGACGGGGGGGGGGGGGGACTATCCAAAGGCCAGACAACTGATCCCTCGCAAGTGTATGTTTCCCAGTGGATTTAGGTCACTTTATTTTGACGACCTGCAATTTTATTTTTACATGTTTGCATTGTTTGAAATGTAATCATATATGCCAGTAGGATAGTAGTCATGGCCATCGTATGGTGCTCAAAGAACTAAGCTTTGTATGAAATTGAACTACTTCCTGAACTATTTTGTAAATATTCCAGCATGCGATGTTGGGTTTAAGATCAACGTCGATGGACTCAAACCAACATTGGGGTCAACGCCGTCACAAAAACGTGTAAATCGACACTCCTGTTTTACGAGTATCCTTGTTTACGTCTTTGTTACTCAAGCCTGTTATTCTGGCATTCTGGGCATCCCTGGACTCGAGCAGATAACGCTGCAGCCGTCTGCGCGGTGGCGTGCGTCCGTTCCTGCAGACCGTCAACACCCGATGCCCACCCGTGTTCCGCTGTCAGATGGCATCCGTTTATTCTGCGGCTAACGCGCCCACACAGCTTCTGGTCATTGTTGTCGATTCCGGAGAGATGGAGCGTTGCGATCAGGCAGAGTAAAACTCGACGCAATATGTTAGGTGCGCACACATAAACCCTCCAAAAACCTATTGATTCGTTCACCGACTTGACTCGTCGTTTAACTAATGACACCGACTGCTCCCATAAGTTTCCTGAGCTGTCTTAGACAAAGTTGTTTTTGGTTTGATGAAAGGTGACACCCAGTAGTATTCATGCGGTTTCCCCTATCCAACCGAGCTCTGCGTCTTGAACACTCTCCTTCTGCAGAGGCTCATGCCACTTTCGGCTGCCATGCCTCTGAATTCATCTCCTCTTTTCGTAGATTGGTGCTTGCATGGGAGAGTGTTTCTCTCGCAGGCTCTATCGCGGCCTCATCACCTGGACCTGTGTCCGATTCTCCCTGCTACTTCCTGCCATGTCTCCTGAGGGTGTGTTCGGTATTTCGGACCCTATTTTCGGGTGTGCGTTCGTCACCCGTGTCGTGTTTCCGCGTGCACTCTGCGCCTAGCGGACAGGATTCCTGGGTCGGCGTTCCGCGCAGGCGTCGATGGCCTTCAACAGAGGATCGCTAACGCGGCTGATTGGTAGTTTGTCTCTCAGCCTTAATGAACGCCAAATGGAGTGCCGAACTCGCTTTCACTTTGCATCCCGTCCAAACAGCCCAATACAACGCGCGGCGTTAGTCGGACTCAGCGACGCATCTGTCTCACCACAGCACACTTATCGCATCGCAGAAGGACATTACCAACTCCGCGGGGCCCCCTATTTCTTGAAGTTGGCGGGGTCCATCACTCCCGCCAAAGATCCCCGAGCTCCTCGCTAGCAGGACCCGGCCGCACAGGCGCGCAGCCGTGATGCACGGACGCGGAGGGATGACGCACGGACGTGCAGGGGTGACGCACCTCAGCTCCGGCCGACCGGGAGCCGGGTGTTGTCGGCGTTCCGCGCGGCGCGCGCCGCCGCCAGCGACGCCGCTGGGCCGGACGTCCGGACCAGGGTCGTGCGTTCGGCCCGCCGCCGCCGGCTGGCGCGGCGCCGCGGCCAGAGCTGTCGCGTACCGGTCCGGGGCCGGCTCCGCTCCGCTGCCGGCGCACAGTGCCCGGGACGCGTTCCCGGCCAGGGTGGGGGGTGGGCACCGGCCCGTCCTGATGGGCACAGGAGGGGAGGCGAGGCCGGCCATTGCTATTGAGTCACCCGCCCTGTGGGTGGAGGTCGCGTGCCGTGCCGGGGGGGAGCCGCGTGACGTTTGTTTCGTGGGGCTGATGGTGGAGCATGATTGTGGGCATGGCCATTCGGAAACGCTCACTTCCTCGTCGGCGGTCCAGAGGCGTGCCTCAGTTCCTGACCGTTCTCGGGTCGCTGGCGATCCAGGGGCATGCCTCAGTCCGGGACCGTTTTCGAGTCACCGGTGGTTCGGAGGCGTGCCTCAGTCCATGATCGCTCTAGGTCGCCGGCGGTTCAGAGGCCTGCTCAGTCCATGACCGTTCCCGGGTCGCCGGCGGTCCGGAGGCGTGCCTCAGTGTCTGTGACCGTTCTCGGCTCAGCAGGACGCTCAGCTGCACGGACCAGTAGCGCGCACGCCCCGGTCACCGTTGCACCGCCCCCGCCTGCTCGTCTTCCGTCAGACCGTCGCGGGTGCCGTGCGGAGCTACACGCGACGCCAGGGCGAGCCGCCCCGCCGCGCGCGGCCAATCGACACGCCGCGCCGCGCGTTAGTGAGGGGTCCGCGCGACACCGTGCAGGCCTCTGCACGGCGCGCACTGTACCCACTGTCACGAACGCTCGGACGGCAGCGGTAGACCGACACCTCGTGGGCGCCGTGTGGTGTGGCGGGAGGGAGAGAGATTCAGGTTACTATGTATATATATATATATATATATATATATATATATATATATATATATATATATATATATATATATATGCATATATTAACGGTTCAACGGTTGCGAGCAGAGGTGTGCCACCTTCTGACGACGAGTGAGCCTATGCCATGCGAAATTACTTAGTATTAGCCATGCCTAAAATAAGTCAAAGTGAGGCCGCGGCTGCTGGCCGATTCACAATGTTCATTATGACCCCTAGAGGCTAGGTTTGCTAGAGAGTTTTTTCGGCATTCGAGATGCAAAACCTTTTGGACGAATGGTCTTGAAAGCGATCAAAACTAGGTCTCGTTGTCCGATATACCAATTTACGGCCGTAGAAGCGAAGCAAATGTAAGACAAACACAACTTGATATAAAGACGCATTTAAACCGTGGCACGAACGAAATGGTTCCATGTTTGGAGAAGCATCATGTGGGTTGTCCTAAAACATGAGCAAATGAGGTCAGTTTCCTCCGGGTGCCTGTACAAATGTGTGATTAGTGTATTACGATGTCCATCTTCCATGATCACAGCTGGCAAAGAGGTCCACTGTCAAATTACGTGCGCACCATTTTGGAATTATCGATACTTGAATACTGGCTGAAGATTGGCTTACCAATTTTGAATGTGATGCGCTCCAAATTTCCAGTGACTGTGGCCACAACACCGAGAGTAGATCATATTTTGGGTGGATTTGAATCGCAATAAACAGGCGGCTAAAAACTGCCTGCGCGTTGCGCGCCACGCACCATTGCATTCCGCACTCACCCGCTGGACACTTGCTTTTGTCCAGTCTCTTCTGGCTTGGCACCACGCCGTATGCTCTCCGAGAGCAGGGCTCAGGACTCGACAGCGGCAGCTCTCTGGTCAGCCTCTGACATCGCTGTGAGATTGACATAACTCAGCTCGCTCGACGTAATGTGGTCGGTATTTCCATTCACCTACACTGTGCATCCGGTTTCACGTCTTTTTTCTAGACTGGTCGCAGGATTTGTCAGTCCAGTCCATCAGTCCTTAAGATTCGTCAGTCCTGTCCATTAGTCCTTAAGATTCGTCAGTCCGATCTATCCGTCCTTAGGAAGGCTCTTCTCCGGTGGATCCGGTCTTCACCCTCGTGCGGCTGCCAGGCTGCCCTCATCGGCCTACGCTTCCGCCAAAATCACCGTCCATTCTTTCCAGCACACATTGTTCATCCCGCGTCGTTGCGACCCTGGGCTGTCGGAATCAGGATCCGGGTTCGGCCCGTATTCGTCACCTCTTTCGCAATTTTCCGATTGCATGGTTCTCGACGAGGCAATATTCTGGCTGC